CCGTGCTGTTGCAGCGTCCTGTATACAAAATAGAGGAAGATTGGCACAGATGTTAGCTCAGGGCCAATCTTCCTCACCAAAAACAAAGTAGGGTGCTTTCATTAAAATGAGGGAGAGGAATCCTGGGTGGGCAAAACCAAGAAATATTTATTACAATACCACTGGGTGGGAATGGTAGCTAGGTGGATTGACTTCAGCAACAACAGAAACCAGGAATGAGAGACAGAGATTGATTTCTACATCACATGGCAGACGACAGGGTTACCAACATCTCCCAATTCTACATCTTGTAGCACCTCCACCAGAGAACTGCGTCCCAGCTCCAGTTTGAAAAATGTGTCAGAAGAGCTCTGATTGGCTCAGTTCCAGATGAGGTGACTGGATCACTCAGCTGTGGCAAAGGGTTGGGTCTGTGAGAACATGGCAGCCGCCATGTGAACTCCCAGCTGGTGTGGGAGTCAAGCAATTTCCAGAAGAGGAAACGTGTGCTGGACAGATCCCATAGTTATCCCTTGCAGACTTGCTCTCTTGGGTCTCAGTTTCAGCTTCTGTAAAGTGGAGAGATGAGGTCCTGAGATGTTCAGGGGTAATTGGGGCCCTGGGCCGGCAGAGTACGTGGGACAGCTCAGGATGTCTGGGGCTCTGGGACGTGATGTCTGTGGTAGTATCTTCCTGTTTGCAGTGACCTCAGGAGGTGGGGACTTCACTGGTAAGTAGGACACAGTGTTCTTTAGGGATGGTCAGACTTAAGATCTGCCGCTCCCCAGCCCCATATTGCAAATCAGAAAACGGAGACCCAGAGAGGTCCAAGGTCATACCCGAGTCCATTTGTGTAGAGAAGAGCTTTTTAGCTCAAGTAAGGGCCAAGCAGGGTGTTCATATTGGAAAATAGGGGTGGAAGGGAATCTGGTTGACTCAGAAGGTACTTTTTGAGGCTCCCAAGAGTGAAGATGACCTATCAATGAATAATAATAACCACCCTTCACATGTCTGTGGCACTCTACAGTTTACAAAGTGATTTCACATCCATTATCTCATATACTGCTCACAACAACCCTAAAACAGCAACAATAATAAAATAAATAACATAACATTATATATTAATATATAATAATAAATATTAATTAATAAAATAGTATTATCATTATTGGACAGATGGAGAAACTGTGACCCCTGGGCAGACAGTCAAAGCAATGACTCAGGGATTCAAACTCAGGCTTCCTAATTCTGGACTGTACTCACTTGGCACCACATCCACTGTTATCACTTTGTTTGGCAAACTTAACTCCCCAGGCACCATTGAAGGCAGTGGCTTTGAGGTGTGGGTCCTATTATGAATCTCTTCTCTCCTCGGGCTCTGGACACAGCTCTTAGGTGCTGGCTGGGACGGTCCTCGATGACTACCAGACCTCATTGTTCAGGCCAGCAAGGCCCTGTGCCTGAGTGTGGAAAGAATTCTCCAGGAAGTTTAATAAGTTGAGAAGCTAACCTCATAAGACAGGAGCCTTTGAGATGAAAGGGATGGTCTTTCAGAATCCTGTCTGCTAGAAAAGAAGGACACAGGTAGGTGTAGACTGGTGCTTAACCTTGTTCAAAAGGACTGGGTTCAGCACCTCAGGAAATTCAGGCATTCAAGAGGAGGATGTGCACACACCCAGCTCTTGGAGTCAGACCTGGGTTCAGATATTGGCCCTGCCACTTACCAGTTACATGACCTTGGATTGGACCTGTTCATCTCCAAAAAGCACATCCCAGGGCCAACCTCCATCTGGGCTGGTATCCGAAGCCCTCGCCCATCTTTTCCTAACTTCTTAGATGGGTGAGGAATCTTTCAGTTACCAGTGACAGAAACCCACAAAGTAGCTTAAGTATAGGTGGATCCAGAGGTCTTCTCTCTCTGCTGCCCTCTGCTCTTCCTTCCTGTGTTGGCTTCTTTCTCAGGCAGGGAGTTATTAAAATTATTTGAATATGATGGGAGATTATGAGTGATATCACATGGTACGGAGGAAAGATTATGGGCCCTGAGGCCAGACAGACTTGGGCTTAAGTCTCGGCTACTTAGGAGCTGTGTGATCTTTGTTGGGTTTCTTTGCCTCTCTGAGCCTCTTTCTTCACTTGTCTTGAGCTAATCACACCTACACCTCAGAGTGTTAACGTCGAGTTCAAGTGAGATAATACATGTGAAAATGCCTGGCATAATAAATGTTAAATATTAACCAAAAAAAATTGCATAGGAAGGAAATAGAAGTCAGCAGCCTCCACCAGAGCTCTTGTTTTTCTTGGGAATGGTAAAGCGACTCTGAGCAGAGGGTGTCGGGATGGAAGTAGTTTGCATGTGTAGAGATCACAAAGCAGACTCACTCTATACTTGAGGCCACAGTTAGGGTCTCAGAATGAACGGTGGGGTCAAGAATTCTGGGTTTGAGTCCAGACTTGACATGGCCAAACGTTGGGCCTCAGTTGCATCATTCATCAAAGCAGGATGCTGGCTGAGACCAACGCTAATGGGCTAAGAGTAACCACCCCTTACATTGGCACAGGGCTGTATAGTTTCCCTCTGATGGCTCTCCATCTCATCAGGCGTGACACCCCAACCTTTTCCTACGGACCACGAGGCCCTGCTTGCTCTTGTCTTCACCCACCTCTCTGACCTCACTGCCACCTTCTCTCTCCTTTGCACACTCTATTCCAGGCATGGTGGCCATCCTTCTGAGTCGTACATGTGTTCTTGCCTCAGGGCCTTTGTTCTTGCTGTTCCCTCAGCCTGGCATGCAAATCATCCTTGTCTTCCACCTGGCTGGCTCCTTCTTGTCATTTAGGTCTCACTTCAAAAGTCATCTCTCCAGCGGGTGGCCCAGTGGTGTAGCGGTTAAGTTCACGTGCTCTGCTTCGACAGCCCGAAGTTCGCAGGTTCGGATCCCGGGCACGCACCAACACACCGCTTATCAAGCCATGCTCTGGCAGGCGTCCCACATATAAAGTAGAGGAAGATGGGCACAGATGTTAGCCCAGGGCAATCTTCCTCAGCAAAAAGAGGATTGGCAACAGATGTTAGCTCAGGGCTAATCTTCCTCAAAAAAAAAAAAAAAAAGTCATCTCTTCAGAGGCCTGCCTAGATCAGTCTATATAAAGCTACCTCTCCCTATACACGCATGCACAGACACACACATGCTACTCTCAATCTTGTCACTCTATTTTTTTTTTGCTTGAGGAAGATTAGCCCTGAGCTAACATCTGTGCCAGTCTTCCTCTGTTTTGTATGTGGGTCACCACCACAGCATCGCGGACGAGTGGTGTAGGTCCATGCCTGGGATCCGAACCCGCGAACCTGGGCCACCAAAGCGGAACACAGGGAACTTAACCAGCCACAGGGCTGGCCTGTTTTATTTTCTTTATGGTACTTCATTGTTCTCTGAAACTATCACCTATTTGTTTACGTGTTACACAGAATCACTGTGACTATGACAGCTACAAATCTAAGTGATCTTGGTGTGTTGTCCTCCACTAGTGACTCAACTATTGCAGGCATCGCTGCCACTGAGGATGTGATTTTCTGAGGATGTGATTTTCTGAAATGGAGACCAACTTTTGGTAAAGTTCCAACCAAAACAAACGACAAGTGTCTCTCCATTTCTACACAGTTCATTTCTGCAAAATTAACAGTAAAATACCTTGTACAAAGTACTTTGTGTTCAGATGTAAATGAGATTTGGTTTAGCATCAGGTATTTATAAGTTTCTCACCAAGAGAAATGTCCAGTGGGACATTTGAATGTGGTGCTGGATGCAGGGCAATTTTTTGTTTGTAGGACTGTCCCAGAATGCACTGCAGGACATCTAGCATCCTTGCACTAAGTGCTGATAGGGCCCTGCAATCGCTGTCACAACAACACTCTCTGACATTTCCAGACATTTCCTAGGGGGCAGTACAGCACACTGTGAGAATAACGTATCTACGGAAAGAGTGTAGTAGTGTATACCTCAGTCTATGAGAAAAAATGAGATACTCTGAAAGGCTCTACATTGTGTCCGGCATATAATAAGTGCTTAGCAAAGATGAATGTACTTCCTCTCTCCTTCCCTCCTCTGGCCATAGGTTCTCAGTCTGATGGATAGGGAACATCTATCATCAGCTCTGGCAACAGGAAGGAAGGTAGGCTGAATATTTCAGGGAGTGAGGTGAGTAAATTAGGAAACAGGAAACACACATCACCCTTACTCCCAAAAAGCTAGAAGAATAGCATGACAGTTATACAAAGAGACTGTGGAACTATTATATGAAATACTGTAGAGCAGTTGACTCAGGAGACCTGCACTTACTTTTCCGTGTAACTCTGTTCCTTCGCTGCTGTGGGGTAAAACTTTTAAGACTAAGAGAACCTATGGTCAAGCTAGAGAATTTTTTCTGGCTAAGAAGGGCCACACAGGGCAGGACCCTGCTGCTCCCCTCTGGATGCTGGGCCGTGTCCGGCCTGGTTTTGTGCAACAATGGACAGAGATGAAGGATTCCAAAGTGATCCTACATCCAGACTGTCACTTGGGACCCTCTGTACAGGCTGTCACTCTGCCAGGATGCCTTCTCTCCCTCACTTCTCAGCCTTTCTCGACCTGGCCATCTCTTCCTCATCTTTTAAATTTGGGATGTATTACCTCCTCCAGAAAAGCTTCCTTGGACCCCCCAGCAGAACTGATTGTCACCCCCTCCTGTGTCCATAGGCCGTGTACTTCCTTCTACCACACACAGTATTTCCAGCGTTGTGCGCCTGACTGACTCCCCAGCTGGTCTGCAAGAACCGTATCTGGTTCTTCTTTATAGCCCTGACAACCAGCTCAGTAGGTGGCACACAGACGGTGTCCCACAAAAGTTTACTCTCTACCCTACCTTCCTCTCCCCCGGCTTTGGATTCTAGAATAAACACCCCACAGAGTCAATAGCATGAAGATTTACAATACCATTATCCAGGCTATAGATGGAGGATCTCATTTATAAAAAGAGGACAGTCTGTGGTCCAAGGGACGGTTTATTTAAAACAAAGGTGACACGGTGTAGGAAGGAGGAAGAACAACAATTCTAACAAAAGCACACAGGAAGCACTTCAAATTAAAAAAAGAAAAGGCAATGGAGGAAGCTATGTCTCACACATATACAAATTGCTGACCTCGACTGATTATTTACATCCAAACTGTATAAAATAGCATTTCAAGTCAGCACTTAAGCCAGTGTTATTAGTTTTCATTACAAAAAGTTAAAGCTACAAACTTCACATTTTTAAGTTGTACATCTGCAACAGCATTTAAGCTTTTTTTTTTTCCAAGTTGGTCTGAGTGCAAGCTGGTGGAAGAGATTTTTGTTTTTCCAAACACAAAAAAGAACATGGATTCCAAATACAACGAATATAATCCTGATGAAAACACAAACACAGTGCTTAAGGAAGGATGGGGTGGGAGGTGTGGACTGGGCAGGAACAATTTTCCAGTAAATAAGGAGCTGCAATCTTTAGAGGCAACATGGTATGCTGGAAAGGGCACTAGAATAAGGATCAGAAGACCTGGATTGGAATCCTAGCTCTGCCGTATTTTAGCTACCTGACCTTGAGCAACAGACTTCACCTCTCTGAGCCTCAGTCTCCTTATCTGTAAAATGAGGACAATAATACCTATATCTCCCAGAGCTATTCAGTTTTAATAGACATAGGGCTATTCAGATCATCTATTTCTTCTTGAGTGAGCTTTGAGACTTTGCATCTTTCAAGGAATTTGTCCGTACTATTTAGGTTGTTGAAGTTATTAGCATGAAGTTGTTCATAATATTGTTATTAACCTTTTAATATCTGTAGGACCTATAATGATGTCACTGCTCTCATTCCTGATACTGGTAAGAGCCAGTGAGTTCTAAATGGTATAATAAACTTCTGGCATCTGGCAGATGCTAAATAAATATTTCCTGGATCCAAATCTACAGTCTCAAGGAGTCAAGGCTATAGTTTTTAAGTTGCTTCAGAGTATTGGTCCTGTTTGTCTGTCTGTCTGTCTGTCTATCTATCTATCTATATATCCATCCATTCATACATCCTTCCAACTGGTCGTTGGGAAAAGGGACAAAAGAAAAATAGAAATCTGCTTCAAAATTACTGATGAGAAAGCAATTGAGATAGTCCTAGAGAATCTGAGATTTTTTTAAATGATACAATTGGTTGTGGGTCATTGTTTCTTAGAAGAAGAGAACAAGTGAGGGGCTCAGAGTTCACTGGAAGCTTGAGTTACAAATGCTCAAGCAATGACTGAAGCTCGGGGCTCAATGAGGCAAGTTGATCTGTCTTGAATTTAGTATTCAAGGAAAAAAATGGCTAGGACTTGCTCCTCTGCCTGTCACTAGAAAACAAATACACCTTGTCAGGAAATTTATCTGATCCCAAAGAAACCGAGTTCTGGCCAAAGGGCTCTGTCTAGTTAGACTGGAGAGCAATGTACTTTGTTGGACTAGCATGTTGGGTGCACACGTGCTTGAAACAAAACAAACTCCAGATCAAGATTCATGACCCAAGAATATTTATGGGGAAAAACTGAACCTTCTTTTACTTGGATCTAGCTTAGGAAGGGAGAAAATGGGCATTCCCCTCCTGTCTGGCCAAGTGCAAAGTCCTTTTTAAAAAAGAAAGAGACTGAGGCAGGACTGTTAATTAGCACAGCAGATGGTGTGGGGGAATCCATACTCCATGGTTTGGTTTTTAAAACTTACTTGACTGTCAGACTTGACTACTAATTCAGCTGTTTCCCAACCTAAAAATGCCAGTTAGAGTTAGTTAGTCTGTGCAAGAAAAGGTGGTCACTTAATTTTAAGAAGACTTATGATTTTCCTTTTCCCTATAAATATTGGCCCCATATGGTGACACTATAAATCCTAAATTCTACCACTTACTAGCTGTATTGCCTTGGGAAAGAATGTTTTTTCTCACTGAACCTGTTTCTTCATCTATGGAATGAAGACAAAGCACTTAACTCATGGAGTTATTGTGAAGAGCTGCCATATATAAAGAGCCTGTCTAGCTCAGTGCCTGGCATATAATATGTGGTCGCCAATGCTAGCTGCCATTTATTATTCTAGTGGGATCCTCAAATTGTCCGCTAGTCTCTGTATCTGCCACATAGCTGCTTAACTGGCCAAGCCCTGCGGACCAACAACTGCCTCTTGTATTTTTAAAAATTCGCTTTAATTGCAAAGAACAGAATCTGGCCACAGAAGAGGAACATTCCCTGCCCTTCCATTGATTCCCAGGTTTGGGGAAGCAAAGCAATTAGGGAGTGAAATTACAGTATCCTCAGGTGCAACTGAGTCATAGCTCCCCTATCCGAGGGAAGGAGATATTAGAAAATAAAAAGACATCTGCTTTTCCCAACTGCTCTTAGCTGGGACTAAATGACATGTGGCCTTGAGCCAATGCTGCAGAGGGATGGCTCAGTGCTGTCTTGTGCAAAGCCCTCTGATCTGCTTTAGGCCCTAATCTGCCTGCAGGAGGCTTGTCTGCTCTCTGGCAGATGCCCCAGAGCTCATGGAATGGCTGAAACTGAACGATCTAGCTCCCCTGGGAATCTCCTCACAGCCAGTCATCCACTGGAGAGACAAAGAGCACGTTTCCATTAGCAGGTTCCCTGGGACAACTTAACCCAAACTGTCTTCTCTCAGAGAAGGGGCTTCTAGTTTCTTCTCTCAGAGAAGGGGCTGCACGATTCAATGGCCCAGGAGTAAGAAGCCTCGAGGTCTAGTCCCAGCTCTTATTTTAACTTGCTTTGTGCTTTTGGCCATGTCACTTCCCCTCTCGGAGCCTCAGGCAGGCCAGATGATGTCTATGGTCCCTTCCAGCTCTGGCATTCTAAATGTCTGGGTTGAGCCTCTTGGAGAACAAATCTTAGTCTGCTATTCATGTATCCTTTCCAGACCCCTTAGCAGTAAAATAAAAAAGAAAACAGTCACATATTTGAATGTGGATCACAAAAGCAATGCCCTCTAACCCTGTCTGTAAGGAACGTGGAACAAAATGCCACGTATGTGATCTTCACATAAACAATGAGAATTTCGAAACTTTCCCTTCTGCGGACTGAACACAGCCCCATGTTTCCTGGGAGTGCCTGGCAGGCCTGTCCCCTCACTGGATCGAATCTCCTCTTAAGGCACTGGGCAGTATCTGTGCTGTGACTCTGGGCAGTTGGGAGAGTGGAGATGGATGAAAGGCGTTGAAACCACAACAGCCAATTCGCAAAGTGCAAAGAGGGTGCCAGCTTCTCTGGGGACTAAAACAGTGAACGTAACCCCCAGGGCTTTCCCTTGGGCATCACCCACAGCTCCATGGGCCAGGGACGACCCAAAGGGCTGAAACTATGGTGAAAGAACTGGCCCAAACCTGATTTTTCAATGCATCCCTGCAAAAGGGGGAGGCTGGCTCCTGGGGGTCGAGTGACCCCAACAGCCTCCCGGTGTCCGCTGCCCTCATGTTCCACAGTACCATAATCTTACAGAAAAGAGGCAAACTGTTTAAAACTGTACCTGTACAAAGATGCCACCACACTGAGTGGGGAATCTAGTTATAATTTATATATATATGCATATTTATATATTTTTTAAAAGTCTTCCAGAAAGAACAATTGCAAGCTATTGGGGGAAGAAAAACAAAAGACATTATGTAAAACTTTCCCAGCTATCACTCAACTAGGAGTCTCTGTTCTTGGGGTTTAAAACTCTGAGTTTAAAAGCGCCAGTATAAGTCCTTTGAAATGATATACCTGACCAATTTAAATACACACATCAAGATGGCACGCTGACTGTCAAGGCGGCCCTTCCCACTGGCGCACATTCCTGAGTTCACAAAGGTGCTGTGGAGAAATGGTGAAGCAGAAGTGCAGCTAACAAATGTGGGTGGCGAGCAATCCAGAGTTCACCGCAGGCCCGTGTGGAGGCGGGAGCCTCCTGGCCCGGCTGTGCTCAGAAGTTTTGTTGCCGCCGCTTCTTAGCCTCAATGGCATCCAGGATTGGCTGCCGCTTCGACTGGTACTTCTGCCGGATCTCTTCAATCTCCCGTTCCATCATGGGGTCGAGGGCCAAGAGCCTCTTCTGAAGGTCCTCCACTGTCCAACTCTTCAGCTAGAATAGAAGTGGAAAGTACAGTCATGACAAAGACCAGATCAGTGGCAGAAGAGCTGACAGGCCCAGCCTTGCCAGGCACCCAGAAGGCAGGCAGAAGGAGGAGGACACTGTGGTCAGACCAAGTTTGGGGTGGTGGTGGTTGGAAAGTGACAGTTCATTCAAATGCATGGTACACCACCAAGCTTTTTTGAGACAATTTATCCCTGGGAGAGTTCTAAGTGCTGATCTCTTTGATTTACTGTGCCTTGACCAGGAACTTAATGAATAATACTTTCATCTCCCCATCTTCTAAATTAATTACATACGTATTCATTGTTAGGGCACTAACATAACAGTAACTTGGTATCTGCAAAATAATGGTTGCCTCCTAGTTCTTGTCCTACCCATGAGATGAGCATCTGGATGGTGACCATGCCTTTTTCTGGACACCACACCAGGGAGGATGGATGCTCACTAAGGATCAGATGCTCTCCCCCACCCCTGCCTTCCCACACCCCCAACGTCTTGGCATTGTCCTACTAATTATCACTAACATTTACCATGGGCTAATCATATCCCAGGCACCAGTCTAAGCACTTTATATGGATTATCTATATTAGTGTCTTGGGAATATAGACACAACGCTTGGGTAGGCGGGTGAGATAACTGAACAAACCCCGAAACTTCTGAGATTAAGCTGCCATCATCCAGAGAAAAAAACAAGACTTGATATATAAATTAATAATAATCACTAGCACTTATACAGTGCTTTTTATGTGCCAGACACTAAGTGCTTCACATATATTGATTCATTTAATCCTCGCAACAACCCTATGATTTGAGTACATTATTATCCTCATGTTACGGGTGAACAAGCCGAGGAAGAGGGTGGCTAAGTAACTTGCCCAGTGTCTCACAGCTAGTAAGCGGCAGAGTCAAGATTCAAAGGCAGGCAGTGTGGCTCCAGAGTCCATGCTCTTAACCAGTACACAGAAGAGCAGACTAGCAAAGCACAGGCTTTAGAACCAACTTGACCTGTGATTAAAGCATGGCTCTGCCTCTTGCTAATGTGATGAGACTCTGGCAAGTTACCAGTCTCTCCAGGTGTTCCTCATCTACAGAAGTGGACCAGCAATGCCTCACGTTTATTATAAGAGTTAAATAAAGCTGTTAGCACAGTGCCTGGTGCACCGTGTGCTTCAAGACAGCAGTGCGTGTTACAACCCTCTCTCTACACTAGAGCCCAGGAGCATACTCGTGTTCAACCTGTGTCTGCCGCTGTTGGGCGAGTGGCTTCGTTGCCATATGTATGGAGTGTTCACTGAATCCAAGCAAGGCCAGCTCTGGCTGGCAGGGGTGGGAATGAATGCTGACTTTATCCACAGCAGGCAGTGATAAATTCAGTGAGCTCACAGCCAGTTTAATAGGTACAGCGTTTCAAGAACTCAAAGGCTCACTCAAGTCGTACGAGAAATTTATAGAATCGTCATCTCCCACAGCTCCTTCCTGAGGCCCCAAAAGGGAAGTGGTATAGGAAGGTGGGTGAAGGGGCCTCTTTCTGTCCACCCTTCCTTTAGCGGGTGGGGTGTGAATGAGTGTGAAGTGCTACAGTGGCCTCCCTAGAAATGGTTTAGTGACCTGTCACCACAGGAATTTTCCTTGGCCCGTGCCAGGAAGGTTGTCTGAAAAGTGAGAAAAGCCTCACGAAAGGTTCTTTGTAATGTGAGACTGGAAAGACTGGAGAGTGGGAGGGAAAGCTGGAAAGTTGGGCTGAAAAAGATGCATCTTTCTTTCCAGGCTGTGGTTTTATACCGTCTAGGAGGTTGGGTTCTTGGCCCAGCAACACCCCAAAAAGTGATGCTTGCCTAGTCTTTAGCTTTTTCAATTCGTTCTCCAAACAGAGAACACCCCAAACCTAATACTGAATGTTACTGGTAGTTAAGGACTTAATCTTTTGGATCACAGATCCTAAACCTCTACTGGCTGTGTAACCTTGGACAAATACACGTCTTTGAGCCTCAGTTTCCTCCTCTGGAAAATAGACAAATACTAAGTTCCTCCATCCTTGGGCTGTAATGAGGATTAGATGAGTTAATGGCTATGATGTTCTTAGTGTAGAACTTCATAGAGTAGGTAATTGGCAGATAGTAAGCATTCCATAAATGGTAGTTACCACTGTTACTAATAACTGTTGTTGCTGTTATTAATATTGTTATTAATATTATTGGAAAGTCTCTAATTAATCTCCCATAAACAAACTGTTCCTATAACCTCTGATTTCAGCCAGAATCAAACAAGTGAGAAAGAAAATATTCTACTCTATTTTGGGCTAACAATGCCTAAGGGTTGGCACTTTCCCACAATGCCTGTTCACTTATTTATAGTTTAACAAAACATTCTTCATCCATCCATTTATCAAATACTCATTGAATACCTACTATGGGCCAGACACTGTCCAAGGCACATAAGGTACTTCAGTGAAAAAAAACAAAAATCATCGCCCTTGTGAAGCTTACATTTTAGTGAGGTGACACAGACAAATGATAATTAACACAATAGGTTAGAGTAAATTACTCTTATGTCAGAATGTGATACAAAAAAGAAAAGAAAAACTACAATGAAGGAAGAAGTGTTGGGAATTGTGAGGGGAGACTTGCTTTTTATCCATCCATTAGGAGGAAGAGTCAACTGCAGAGTGAAGAAATGTAAGTTAGTGGAGCTGCACTGGCTTTCCAACTTGTTCTGCAATTTTAGGCAAGCCCCTTCTCCTCCCTAGGCCTGTTCCCGATCTGCAGAGAGAGGGCTGCCCAGATGATCTCAAAAGTCTGTATAGACTCAATGCTTCTCTCTGTATGATCCATGGATCACCTGTATTGGAATCACTTGTTAAAAATACAGACTCTTGAGCCCCAGCCCAGAGCTACTTGATCAGACTCCCCGGGAGGTGAGGCAGAGGACTTTGCATGCTAAAGAAGCTATTCAGGTGTTTCTTATAAATCCTCAAGTTTGATAAGCATGATTCTACATCTTCCTTCTTGTTTTCCTGGCAGCAAAATTCTCCTAAAATAATTGCTACCTGTGTCTGGTTAAAGCTTCTTCTAGCTTTCCAATTTCTATGCAGCTTTTTGCCCTTGATTCTAATTTAGGGGCAACAACAAGCACCCTTGCTTTATCTCAGCCACCTTCAGACTAATTTACTTGCCCAGAGGCCTTCGGGGCTTAAGTTACACCTGACGTATTAGAACACAGCCAGCCAGTCACTGCTAATGACTCGATCACACCATCCAGATATGGATTTTTCTGAAAACAAGCTCAGAGAAGGGTTTTATGGCACCAAGTATAGCATTTCACCTTCCTGGTCCTTGGTGGCATAAATAAATTTCAAGTGGATATCTTGCAGTGAAAATAACTGTGGTTCTACGGTTTTCTAACAGCTAGCATCCTGAAGGAGCAAATTCTCAAACTGGCCATGCAGGTAGCTTGAGCTGTTTTCACCAGCCAGGGGAAATATCACCCCTTATATCTCATCTATCTACTAGGAGTTAAGCATCCTCTCTACACTGTGACTCCCACATTTACCTCTCTAGACCAGAATTCTCCTCTGAACTCCAGACTCGCACATCCAGATTAGATCCTACTGGATATCTCAGTCCCTGGTTATCTCACAGAAATCTGCAATTTAACACATCCACAACAAAACTCTTCATCCCCCACCCCCCTCCGGCCCCCATCTCCAAACCTCTTCTCCTTACTCCTCCCAGGATTCCCCATCTCAGGAATGGTACCACCATCCTCCCAAGTGGGAGGATATATATATACCAGTTTTTTCCATCTTTACCTCTAACCCTCAATTCAGGCCACCACAATCTCACAGCAACAAAAATAATTAAAATTGTAGATGTGAACCAGATAATATCATCCTTACGTTTCCCTCTGCACTTACAGTAAAATCCAACAACTCACCAGGGGCTACAAAGGCCCTACATCTCTGGCCTCATTGTCCCCTTCCAACTTCACTACCTACCACTATCCCCTTGGCTCAGGACCAATACGCTTTATTTCCGATCCTCAAACAGGCCACACTCTTTCCCGTCCTCAAGGCCTACGCAGTTAATGATCCTTCCGCCTCAGTTCCTCCTTATCCTTTAGGCCTTAGCTCAGATGTCAACTCCTCAGAGAATCCGAGGAAGGCTTCTCTGACCATCTTATCTAGAAAGGTCGCCTCCTCTCCATTCTTCTCTATCTCAGGCCCTAACTTATTTCCTTCAAAACAATCATGGCACTTTGTAATCATTCTTATTTATTTTCTTTTACTTATTTATTGGTCTATTACTAGGATGAAAGTTCTATGAGGGCAGTGACTTTGTCTTGTTCACTATACTAAGTATAACATTGGTTGAAGGAATGAATACACTGCCCCTCATTTCCAGTCAAACAATAATGGAAGCCACTGAAATCAAGGGAGCAAGCTTCCCCTGAGCACTACCACGTGCCACATAGCTCTGGGTGAGGTGATGAGAGGACTCCGTGTGGAATAAGGAGTGACTTCTGCCCTCAAGGAATTTATATTCCTCTCAACTTTCTTTTGAAATTGAAGGAAGTCTCTGCTCACTTGATTAAAATTTCTGTGTTTTATACTGACTGATAAGAAGTAGCTCTCCAGTCCTGGCTTAGTCATCTCTAAAGGGCATGTCCATTTTAATTTTTTATTCAGACAAAAATGAACTTCTACTATAAGAAATACTCTTTGGAAAGAATGAGATAATCAAAAGAATACGGCATGATCCTTCTGGATAAGATAAAATGAATGCCAAGCCCAGAGCCACAGGCTCATTACTGAAGGTGGGTTGTGCTGAAGAGAACAGACCAAGCACAGGGATTTTTGACTGTTCCTGGGAGAAGTCACAGAAGGAAGGAGAAACTAAAATAAGCCTCATAATCAGGGTTATTTAGAATTCTCTGACCACTTGGATGCTAATCAACACATCAGTCTTGGGTAAATGGAAAAGGATGGGCTC